GAAACTACAAGCACAGAAGCACGCAATGAAATTACAAATTTAAAAGGAATGACAAATAATACAAAAATTTAAAGGGTTAAGAAAAAAACAAATAATTTGTTAAAAAGTACAAATACTTCACAAACAAAAAAATCCTAAACCATAAAATATATATATTGATATCAAAATTGAGATAAATTCAAATTCCTAGGATTAAAACTCATTTACGAGACATTGTTCTTTATTAATTCTGCATGTAATAGTTATTTCGCTATCTAATGAATTAATAGTAAAGTTGCATTTAACAAAACCTTTGAATAGTTACTGTACGAGTGTTTTATAACATTACATTTAGCCATGTTCCATCATGAAAACATTATCATTGAAATTGCCATAAAAGATCAACAAAGTGTTTACAATGAACAGAATAATGTTTTATGCACATACAATTGTTTATGAATCAAAAGATAAAAGCAATATTTTTGATTCCCAAGGTCGGTAACAAATATATCTTGAATTTAAACATTATATTGGGATGTTACACAAGTTTTATTTGAAGAATATTATAACACTAATCTTCAATCAAAATACATTAAAATATTATGTATGGTATAGACTCTCTTTATAAGTGTTTACATTTGCTAATGTAATAGATAATCTTACTAAATATAACAATGAACTTACGTTGATGAACATTTAAACCAATACTAGTTTACTTTATAAGTGTTTACATTTGCTAATGTAATAGATAATCTTATTAAATATAACAATGAACTTACATTGATGAACATTTAAACCATACTAGCTGAATAACTGTTTTGCAACTTCAACAATATGAGATTCAATCCAATCATATAACAATTCCGAAGATAATGGTATTTCATCAAACAACAAAACACAGTATCTGCTACTAATACTTTTTAAAATAAATAGCTGAACCTAATGTTTTAAATAGACACTCATAAATACCGCTATACACTTGTATCTCTGAATGCAACTTTCTCAATGTTTGAGGACATCGCAAAATAAATATTTGTCTCCAAAAATAGTAGACCTTTGGAGACTTTTTGTACGACTTATTTCTTAAATTATTGCATTGTTTATGAATCCTTCTTGTCATTACATATTGCATTCCTTGGTTGTCAAAAGTACTCCTGCGCTTTGTTCGTGCATTTTGCAGCAATTTGCAGGTACTCCCAAGACACCTATTCAATATAATAACATGTTGACATATTTTGATTATATATAATTATTGCTGCAATTATTATTAAAAAATACCTTTGCGGAAACTTGTATTGGAATAGCTAAATATTTTAACCCGCACTTGACACTTTTTTGGGTACTATAAAAACACTTTGCCATATTAAATTTCACAAATGTTCACTTAAACAAAATTAATTAATTAGAAACAACACGAGTTCAAAAAGTTAGGTTATTCGTACAGCCATACAGCGATCAAATACTTGACAGCCACTTGCATGAACCACGAACAATTTGTAGTTGAAATTGAGTGCACATGAGCCATCTGTTTTTAAAAATTGAAACTACTCAGGACCAAAACAGTGCAACGCGCATTTGTTCGAAGATAACTCCCCATGAGCCAGCTGCTAGATCAATGAAATTGGAAATCGTAGCGCCATCCTTCGAACTATTCAAATACCAATCCATTTCAAAACACGGTAATCTTCATTTGTTCGGAGATTACCGGCCATAGATAAACAAGTATAATAGATCGCTATGTCTGGCGGTTTGACGTTACCTCGATTGAAATACAAATTTTTAAAAATAGATGGCAGCACATGTATAATATTTAAATTACCCCTGGTTTTACTTCTTAATTTGTACGTATCGTATACAGCCCCAAAAACCTGAATAATTTTTAATATCTGAAATAAGAACAAATCATACGAAATACAAAATATATATTTTCAAAGATATTACATATGTTTAAAGAACAATTAAAATTATGTTTATATTAACAATTATAATTACGGTTATGGAATGTTTGAAAATATAATAATAATTATACATAATTATAAAAGTATTATAATTTCACAATTATGCTTAAATAATATTTCAAAAACTAAATATCTAAGTGAAGAAAATCACAGAAGTATTTAACTAAACTAAGCACAAATAACTGACTAATATTAATTACTTAATGACTAATATTAATATATTAAAATCTAAAAACTAAGAAGAAACTACAAGCACAGGAGCACGCAATGAAATTACAAATTTAGAAGGGATGACAAATAATACAAAAATTTAAAGGGTTAAGAAAAAAACAAATAATTTGTTAAAAAGTACAAATACTTCACAAACAAAAAAGTTCTAAAAACATAAAATATATATATTGATATCAAAATTGAGAGAAATTCAAATTCCTAGGATTAAAACTCATTTACGAGACATTGTTCTTTATTAATTCTGCATGTAATAGTTATTTCGCTATCTAATGAATTAATAGTAAAGTTGCATTTAACAAAACCTTTGAATAGTTTCTGTACAAGTGTTTTATAACATTACATTTAGCCATGTTTCATCATGAAAACATTATCATTGATATTGCCATAAAAGATCAACAAAGTGTTTACAATGAACAGAATAATGTTTTATGCACATACAATTGTTTATGAATCAAAAGATAAAAGCAATATTTTTGATTCCCAAGGTCGGTAACAAATATATCTTGAATTTAAACATTATATTGGGATGTTACACAAGTTTTATTTGAAGAATATTATAACACTAATCTTCAATCAAAATACATTAAAATATTATGTATGGTATAGACTCTCTTTATAAGTGTTTACATTTGCTAATGTAATAGATAATCTTATTAAATATAACAATGAACTTACGTTGATGAACATTTAAACCAATACTAGTTTACTTTATAAGTGTTTACATTTGCTAATGTAATAGATAATCTTATTAAATATAACAATGAACTTACGTTGATGAACATTTAAACCATACTAGCTGAATAACTGTTTTGCAACTTCAACAATATGAGATTCAATCCAATCATATAACAATTCCGAAGATAATGGTATTTCATCAAACATCAAAACACAGTATCTGCTACTAATACTTTTTAAAAGAAATAGCTGAACCTAATGTTTCAAATAGACACTCATAAATACCGCTATACACTTGTATCTCTGAATGCAACTTTCTCAATGTTTGAGGACATGGCAAAATAAATATTTGTCTCCAAAAATAGTAGACCTTTGGAGACTTTTTGTACGACTTATTCCTTAAATTATTGCATTGTTTATGAATCCTTCTTGTCATTACATATTGCATTCCTTGGTTGTCAAAAGTACTCCTGCGCTTTGTTCGTGCATTTTGCAGCAATTTGCAGGTACCCCCAAGACACCTATTCAATATAATAACATGTTGACATATCTTGATTATATATAATTATTGCTGCAATTATTATTAAAAAATACCTTTCCGGAAACTTGTATTGGAATAGCTAAATATTTTAACCCGCACTTGACACTTTTTTGGGTACTATAAAAACACTTTGCCATATTAAATTTCACAAATGTTCACTTAAACAAAATTAATTAATTAGAAACAACACGAGTTCAAAAAGTTAGGTTATTCGTACAGCCATACAGCGATCAAATACTTGACAGCCACTTGCATGAACCACGAACAATTTGTAGTTGAAATTGAGTGCACATGAGCCATCTGTATTTAAAAATTGAAACTACTCAGGACCAAAACAGTGCAACGCGCATTTGTTCGAAGATAACTCCCCATGTTACCGGCCATGGTTCGGAGCATTCATATTTGGTTTTATGTTTTAATGTTGGCAACACTGCCTGAAGGTATCATATGCTGTCAAAAAACGCTGCGAGGAGGGTCGTGTCTATCGTTTCACTTGAAAATTTTCGTATCGGTATCTCCAGTGATTTTTTTCTCAATTCGCTCAAACTGTCATAATTATTCCTTGACAAGTTCACAACTAATTTCTATGGTGCTAAAATGAGTAAAATTGCTTGAGTTAGGTTTTTAAAACTTTATTGTAGGGCATTAAATTTTCGGTGTAATTATATATTTATTTCAGCACAAAATGGGCGAAGGTTCATTGACAAGAAATGAAATAGTACAGTTACTAGTACGGTTATCATTAGTTTCTGCCGTTACATACTTTTCACTAAAATGGGTTATGAGCCACATTGATCCCACTAATAAAAATAAAAAGAGTGCAAAAACAAAAGCTGAGGAGCAACTACGAAGGTAAAGTAATTAAGCAAAGTATGTAAATCTAAAACTCAAAATTGGAATTATTTTTAGGATTGGTTTAACTGAAAATTTAGCTGTTGGCATAGAAAATCTCAATGAATATGAAATGATGATTGCATCTCATTTAGTTGTACCAAAAGATTTAAAAGTACGTAAAATAGTTTTATCATTATTAGTACCTTTAAATTGTAATGGTATTTTATGAAATGACTGGAATATGTACTAACAATTGATGATATCATCATCATTATTAGAAGAAATGAATAAATTCTTTTTTAAAAAAAAGACTAAAGAAGTAATAACTAAATCAATAATTATAAAATTCTTAATTGGATGTGAAACCACATCTAGCCGAATGTGACAAATTGACACTTTCACATATGTTTTTGTTTCATTATTACATCATTTATAATATGTAAAGTCAAAGCATTTATAGTATGTGAAGTCAAAAGCTTAATTTTTTGTAAATATTCAGTTTTTTTTAATTTTACACAAAATAAGTATAATTATTTTTTTATATATGAGAAATTATAACTTATTAAATGTTGCAATAAATTTGACCAAGTATGTAATATATTTTTTATAATTTTTTTTATAAACAAATACTTTGAAGGTGACTTGGAGTGATATAGCAGGATTAGAATCAGTTATACAGGAATTAAGAGAAACTGTTATATTACCTATACAAAGAAAAGAATTGTTTGAAGGATCTTTACTTACTCAGGCACCAAAAGGAGTACTGTTACATGGACCACCAGGTATTTAAAAAAAGTTATTTTGAACTGACAGTTCAAGTTGTGTAATAAACTATTGTATACATTTCTATTTATTTATAAATTTCTTCTTGAAACATATCTGCTCTATAATTAGATTCTATTATTCTTTGCATAGTGTTTATTTTAATTGATAATACTGTGCAAATCTGAAATCATAAATTTGTGCAATCAAAATATTAGGTCCCTGGGGTTTCATGTATTTAGTCTTAAGATTTTTTAAACTTTTTGTGATTTTTGTGGATTACTATTTTTTTTTTTTTTATACTATGTAGCAGCATTCGGAAAACTTTTTTAATTACTACCCTAAAATATTTTTGTGTAAGCCCTGGCAAATAAAACATATTTTTCATCATTTTTTATTCAAGCTTCTCATAATAATTCTGCAAAGAAAGCAATAGCAAAAAATTTAATTTAATCATTATTAGTAGGCTTGCATCGAATATTCGGTTACTATTCGGTATTCGGCATATTTGGCACCTTTCTTGATATTCGGACAAATACCGAATAGTAACTTACTATTTGGCCAAATACCAAATAGTTAAAATCAGGAGCCACCGCCACTCAGCAAAAATATTCTGTGTGTTTTTTAACTTTTATGCGATAAAAAGCTTGCAATGAATCTGTATATTTGGAAGTCAAACATAATATGATATGAAGAAATTGATTCGGTTTTGTATATATAATAATTTATACTGTATCTACTTTTGAGAATATAAATGAACATATGAAGAACTCTTCTCAATATTCAAAGGACACATTATTGTTATATGTTTATTTAAAATTTAATTTTATGATTGTTTATCATGCAACGTTTATGAGTAAGATTAAATTTTAATTTAAAAAAAAAAAAATTTTATAATGAACTGTCTAACCCTAACAGTTTGCTTTTAATTTTGAAGTCAATTTTCACTGTCCTACCACTAATCATTCCTATTTTATAACATTCATTTCAGTAGCCCAATAATTTTTCATATAACTTGATAACTGATTAATTATCTTCTTTTTTTGTGAACGTTTTTCATTGAGTTTTGATCAACAGCTTTTGAGGAGCTTAATATTTTCAAAACAAAACACTTTTTTTAGTCCAGTCATTATGCTAAGTTCACCTCTGAATTTGAGATACCCAGCTGTAAGTCTGTAAATACTTGTATATTGACACTAAAGAGTTGTCTCAAGGGTGTACCTACCATATGTAGGTTTTGAGTTTTTGAGAGGGATCTATGACAAAGCATTTAATTTCATCAGAACTTCTGAAATCTCACTTGATTCAGTAGACATGCAACATAATTAGAATATGAATATATATATATATATATATATATATATATATATATATATATATATATATATGTATGTGTGTGTGTGTGTGTGTGTGTGTGTGTGTGTGTGGAATGACTATATTGGTTTTATTTATTAGCCATTTGTCTATCGAAAATTTAAAAACATGAAATGGATAATTTTTATCTCGATTTTGTATAAGATTTTTTAATTTCTGTATTTGTTTATTTTTAATAATATGAAAGTGTTTATGGTATTTTGTATTTCCGAATTGTAAAAATTTATTAAAAGTATTTTCATTTTTATATATATTTTTTATATAATTTATAAATCTTTGCTTTTTATTCTTTGATGTATCGCCCCACAAAAACTTACTCATATATATATATATATATATATATATATATATATATATATATATGTATTTTTATATGTATATTTTTGAATAGTCTTTGAATTTGATGTTGATATAATATGTTTAATTTGATTTAAAAAGTCGGGCGATACAAAAATAGTATGAGAGTTTTTAGAAATTTATTTACCATCCATATGTTTTGGCTAGCATCTTAGCCTTCATTCAGTGGCAATAAATTTAACTATAAAAATTAACAAATTAATAATAATAATAATAATAAAAAAACACAATTTTGTCTCCTAATATAACATATGAAAACATTATTAATCCATGGGGTATTAGTATGTACACATTGGTAAAATATATATTTTTTAACATCACAGATGGTAAAACACACAAATAATAATGATAACTTAACAAGTTGTGGAAACTATGTATTTACTGTTTGAAGTTTAAGATAGAAATGTTGCATACTCTTTTTATGAGAGCTTTGAACAAAGAATCCAAAAAGTAATAAAAGGACATCTATCAAGAAACGTGATCCTGATATATAATATATTTAAAAAAAGTAGAAATAGGTGGATCTTTTAATTTATTCCATTCAATTTCAATACTGACGTAGTATTTTATTTTTCTTGCAACGACTGTTCTTTTCAATACATTGGACAAACCTCACAATATGTACACAAAAAAATGAGGCAACATGAATTAAGTGTGGTTCACCATAAACAAAAAAAATTCTAAAGTACCCTGGTAACAACACTCAATCGAAAATACCTACTAGTTTAATTTCACAAATTTTATATCATGAAAATTGCATTTTTAAGAGGTTATTTGCGGAAAGTTGTCTTATACTTATGAACGCTTTCAATAGTGTTAACATTAGATCAGATCACAACCTGTTACATGATCCTTATTTAAATTTTTTACACTTTTTGACAAATAATTAAAACAAACATTCTTTCTTTTCAGTTTTACACATCTGTCTACTCAAAATTTACTTTTCTGTTCCTGTACTTTATAATATCTTGACATCTATTTTGAATTCAATAAATTAAGCATTTACATCCTGATATATGAAAACAACACACACATACACACAGATTTTATGTTAAGTGTTTCTCCTTCAAATTCATCCGTTCAATAATCAGTTTGCTACGAAATAGTTATCCCATAACATCTTGGGAATAGTACTTTTTGCCTCAAATAACAAACTCAAAAAAGACATAATTTAAAAAAATATTTGAATTACAAAATTTATATCTTTCTTTGAAAAGAAATGTATAAAATCACGATTTTTTTTATAAAATCGATTTTAGTGAAAAAGTATTAGTGTATATTCAATCATACAGGTAATTAATTCTGTTTTTTCCTTAACCCTTCTTCTAAAAAAAACTTTCAAATTTTCTAACATTTCTAATATTTTGTAATATAACCCATGCATTTATTTTGATTACTTTCATTTTGATTATATTGTCATACTTCTGAAATGTTATTACTTCCACAATTTTATTCATTTTATATAATAAAAATCCATTTTTTCTACTTTTCTTAAATATAGTGTTTATCAAGATCATGCTTTTTGACAGATGTCTTGAAGATGGAACGTTCCTAGCTCCGAAACGTCGACAGTAAATAAATAAAGAAATGGTTTTTTAAAAAAACTAGTTCTTTATTACTTTTTGGATTCTTTGTTCGAAGCTCAGCAATATATATATATATATATATATATATATATATATATATATATATAGGGTGGTCCTTAAAATGGTCATTTTTGAATTTCCTTGCTCCCAGGGGCTCAAATGGTTCCAAATTGATAAAAAACAATTTTCTGAAAGTTTTAGCTTTTAATATTAACGTTTAGATAGAGCGCAATTTAATCAAAGTTTGTATGGAAAGAGCATAGAAAAAATTTTGAAATTTAAAAAAAAATGTTTTAGTTATAACTTAGCGACAAATGAATGAGTTTCATTTTTGAAAAATTTTCCATGCTATTTCCATACAAAACTTTGATTGAATTGCGCTCTATCTAAACGTTAATATTAAGAGCTAAAACTTTCAGAGAATTGTTTTTTATCTATTTGGAACTATTTGAGCCCCTGGGAGCAAGGAAATTCGAAAATAACCATTTTAAGGACCACCCTAATATATATATATATATATATATATATATATTCAATAGATAAGTCCTGGATTTTTTCAATATATTGATTGTTTCTTTTCCGAACAGTAAATCCAATAATAAAAAACAATTTGTTTTTTGAAGATGTTTAATACGACGTTTCGGAACTAGGTACGTTCCATCATCAGGTTTATTCTGTCAAATACAATGTTTTTTAAAAATATTGATTAACATTAATTAACGATGGTCAATACAGATTAATTAGAAAAAAAATTTTTATAAAGGAATGGATTATGTACCGGGGTAAAGAGTAATAAGAATTAACTAAAAAAGGTTCTATATAAAATTGAGAAGCAAAAATTATTTACCTGTAATAATTTATATATCCATATCACTAATATTTTTTTGTTAAAAACACTCGATTTTTTTGGAAGATATTTGTAGATGTTACGACTACACAATCAGTGTGTTTAAGTCTTGTGTAGTCGTAACATCTACATCATGTAGATGTTACGACTACACAATCAGTGTGTTTAAGTCTTGTGTAGTCGTAACATCTATATATATATATATATATATATATATATATATATATATATATATATATATATATATAGGGCCGGTCCTGCCTCGCATGCGATGCATGCAAAAAATGCGGGCGCACGACTTAGGGAGCCCGCATTTTATTATTTATATAAAATCTAGAATACTTATAATAAAAAATCTAACATAACTATGGATACGATGACACAAAAAGCATATGTATTTTGCAATGTGATATCAGTAGAAACAATTAACCAATTAATATTAACAGCTGCAAATTGGTATATAACAGTCATATTTATTGCTTAATCTACTTTTTCAATTTTTTTTGTTTTAAGTTACCGTGAAATCAAAAAAGAAAATATCTTGTTCAATCTCATAAGCGCAAACCTGCGAAAGATTAAATTAACTATTATTGACGAAAAATTGCGATTTAGTTGAAACGGAAATTGTTAAAAAATATAAACAAATTATAATAGGGAAAACAAAAAATGGGGATTCAGTGCTTAGAAAATGGCATGTTTATTTCGAGAAATTGAATTGTAACTTTTGTTTTTGTTGCAAATGTTTCGCATCTGATGAACTTTGAATGTTGAAGATATGCGTGGTTAGGGTTATGGAAATGGAACAAATGTGAAAAATGGAAGCAAAATTTACTTTGGGACGAAAATCTTAAGGCAT